TTAAATAAAATTTATTTTTATAAGGTTTTTTTTTTTTTTAAAAAAAAAAACAAAAAAACATGATTGAGGAAAAAAAAAAAAAAAAAAAAAAAAAAAAAAAAGATCTAATTTGTTTGGTGAAATAAATCAATAGTACAAAAATCAAAGATATACTAAGGACAGTTACAAACTGAATGACAAAGAAACTCTGAAAACTTTGAAACAATAAATATATAAGATTTCAACAATAAAAAAAAAAGAAACATAAATAGAAAGAAAAAAAAAAGAATAACAAGTTAATATTTAAGTTATAAATATAATATAATATAAATCTTTATAAAAGAGAATAGTGAAAGCAAAAATATTATAATGAAAATTTATAAATAATTGACTAAATTAGAAAAACAATATATAATAAATACTTTTTAAATAAATATATACTTCTTAAGATCATAGAAAATTTTTTGAAAAATATATGTTTATAAAGATTATATATTTATAGAGATAATTTTATTAAGAGTTTTATATATTTGAAATCAAGCTTGATTGTGTATTTAAAAAGAAAAAATATAGTAAGTGCATTTAGAAAGATTTCTCTGTAATTAATTTCAATTTTTATTATTTATATAATAATATTAATTAAATCTTGATATAAGTCTTAATATACATATATATTAAAAAATAAATTAATAGTAACAAGTTGATATAAAGTTTATCAATATAATATAATATATATTTAGAATAGTTTATAAATAGTAGGTTTTGTAATAAGAAGTACAAATATAAATTAAATAAAGTATGTTGAGCAAGACTTTACTAGTTGAAAAAAAATTTTTTTTATAATTACTTTTTTAAAAAATAATATAGAACAAAATAAAATAACTATAATCAGGTATGACTGTATTAAATTTTGTATATATTATACAGTTGTAAAATAAAGAAATGACATTTTTCTATTTAAAAAAAACATTATTAAAAAATAAAATATCAATTTTAAATAATAACTATATCAAATAAATTAATATATTTATTATCTGTAAAAAATAGCAGGCTTTGAAAATTTCGGTTACATGAAAGATTCTGCCGTTTACAACCAGTTTAAAGCAGTATATAAAGCTATTTATTTACGAAAATATGAAATTCGAAGTACAGTAATATAAATACTGAAAAACAATATGGTATTTTATCACGTGAAAAAGTCGCTTTATAACATTTGATATTCTAAAATATTATTTATTTTGTTGTGGAAAGAACTATTAATAGAATTATAAATTAATTATAACCTAACCCTATAATTGGTATTAATTATGTACGTGAAAATCAATTTGATCGGCAAAAACCAATCGATGTAAACGAAGTAAATCGAGACCTGCACTAGGTTACATCAGGATTGGCACCGGCCTCTGTTCAGTACGCGAAAAAATTTTTTTTTATTGGTTTTCAGTTCAACCCCTTTTTCATATAGACTTCCCCAACACAGTCAGAAAATTATAAAAAATAAAACACTTTCTTTATTAAACCCTAATCTACGCTCTTTACATTGCCTTTGAACTTCCTATTATTATAATCACCAAGATTTTTTAAAATCATGGTACAATTCGGAGACTTTAATAGAATCTGCGAGATGGTGGCTCTCACCGTGTGTCCTCTTGTAGGAGCAGAGGAGGGTATTGAGCCAACATGTTATTCGAGAAATGTTGAGGTTGCGGGAACGCTGATTTTTCAGCCTGGTAAATAACTGATCCTCGTCTTCCTATGCAAAGAACTACAAACAAATTCTACAAGTGCCTTATTTCTGTTTCTGTAGCCACCATTATTATTCATATCATTGCACTCATCATGACCTTCATCATGATTTACCACATAAAATCAAAATATACCGCTGTTGGTAATGTATAAAAAGTTATATTATTTCTTGTAAAAGAATATAATTCGATTTACGTGACATAAATATTTTTTATTTAGGTCGTAAGGAAATTGTTATGTTCTTCTATTTGTACATGATTGTTACCTTCTTGGAACTGTTACTAGTTTCCGGAATCGTTCCTACAGCCTCCAAGATTTACCCGGTAAGTTTAATTTGTATTAAATTCACTTTTGAAGCAGAAACCTCATTAAATTTTTATTTACGACTTTTTTTTTACAGTTTTTTGTCGCTGCTCATGTTGGCTGCATTACTGCTACTTTCTGGTGTTTACTGCTAAACGGATTTGTAGGATTTCAATTTGCTGAGGATGGTACACCATTATCACTTTGGGTAAAAAAAAATTATTATTATTATTTTACATGCGAAACATATTTTGCTTATGCTAACTTTAATACATGAAAACAAATGTAGTCTATTCGTATTTCTTCGTTTGTTGTTTTTGGAGCTGTATTCTTCCTTAGTATTGCTACATTCCAGAAAATGGCCGGTTTCGATCCCCTACGTCCAGTACCACTTTGGATTGTACTATACGTATTCAATGGTGCAGCTCTCGTGATTTACGTAGTTCTTCAAATAGTTCTTGTTTATAATACTCTTGATGACCGTTGGCCACTTGGTGATATTATGTTTGGCATTGCTTTTTACATCATTGGCCAAGCTACTCTTTACGTATTTTCGGTCCGTATCTGTGATACTGCTAAGCATTACATTGACGGTCTGTTCTTTGGAACAATTTGTACCCTTTTAGCAGTGATGATGGTCTATAAATACTGGGATTCTATTACTAAGGAAGATCTTGAATTTTCTGTTGGAAGTAAGCAAAATGTATGGGAAGTTAAAGAATTACTTGAAGAAGAATACCCCAATCCAAGTTATTATCCGCAACATCAATATTCCGGATACAACGACGGTTATTAGTTAAATATAAACAGGACTCGATTAATAAATCAAAATATTTCATAATTGGGGAATAGACTAGTACAAAAGTTGGCAAAGACCGCCTATTTTTTGTAATTTTTAAATATTTGAAAAGATTTGTTTCATTGGTCGAGACATTGTTTGGGTCGAACATTAAGGGTAGCAAACTTAATTACAACTTATCACATTTCACATTCTTGTTTCATTGTTCACTCTTTTTTTCTTACAAAAAATTAGTTAACTAGATATTGTAATTTTCTTCACATTACTGAGGGATTACCATAAATTATTCAAAATTCACAGCCATTTTTTTTCAAAAAGACTAAATAAACTTGCTTACGCGAGGTTTTCTATAGATCCGAGATACATGTAAACGGTTGAAAATTTAAAGATTCATGAAATTGGTTGTAACACAACTTCTAGTGGTACATTACGATACTGTTAGTTAAATTTCCGTGCCTATGTAATTTGTAATTTTTGGCACATGGACTTTTGCGCACATACCTATGACATGCTATTACATATAATTGCATAATTTATATTTTACCATATAGTGATCAGAATCATGTGCGTAATATTTAATATTTATGCGAGGGACACCTGTTTTAATTCAAATTTGATGATCAATAACCAAACTTGATGCGTGATTGCAACCTCCTGTTAGATAAGCCACGAATCAGCGGTTGGATTGTATAGAACTAGGGAACAAACTGGTCAGTTTTGGGACAATACAATTAAAAATAATAAAAGATCATGGGTAGTTGAAACCGTGATAACTAAAGATTGAAATCCAGATGTAGTTAATCGACGTTCCAAATCACTTATGTATGATCTCCGCGTGGTTATCAAACGAAATAAGAATTCTTCTGTTTTTAGAAATACAAAATTATTTGGCTTAAAGTATTTTAATAGTTTTTTAATTATATAATAAATACAAAAATGTATACAGTATGTTTAAAAGATTTTTTTTCCTTAACTTGTATATATATATAATTTTAATTATTATTGTATATTATTATATAAAATATCAAGAAACTCTTAAATATTAAAGCTTTAATATATTTTATAATATTAATTTTAAAATTTTTTATTAACAAATCATCTTAAATAATTATTAATATAGATTTAATAAATAGAATAATAACAGAAAATAAATTAAATTTTAACATAAATAAATTAAATTAAATTAAATTAAATTAAAGCAAACCAATTTTTTTTTTTTATATTATATTTTATATAATTTTTTATTATATGAAATTTAAAACAATATATAATTAAAACATTTTATAAGTAACAAATAAAAAATTAATCTTAACAAAAAAAAAATTTATAAAAATTTTCAATTCACGTTTTTTTTTTTTTTTCCAATATGTAAACATTATTTCTTTATTTGTTTGTATATTTAAAATATATATATTATAAAAGAAACAATATCTCTTATATGCAATAATAGCAAGTTTAATGTTAACTTGCCTATACCATCTGTACCTAACTAATATTGAAAAAGAAATTTTAAAACAATACTATATACTAAATATAGCTGAAGATAGGGCTATACTTATTTACTCAAAAAATTTAATAAGACATAAAAATAAAATAAAAAGTAAAAGAAAAAATATAACTAAGATTATAATTATATGAGCTACTTGTATTAAAACTATATTGATTAAATTATAAAATCTATATAAACAAAAAAAATATCTAAAAGGAAACCAATAGTCTGATTCTTGCACTGGCACTAGGCTTAGAGATATATTTCTTGTTAACATGAATAATAGAATATAATTAATATTGTTTGTTATTATTGTTATTATATTAAAAAACCAGTTTAAAACAGATTCAGTTTTGTTTTATTGTTTTGATAAAATCTAATTGAATGATTGAAAAGCAACTATTATCTAAAAGAGATAAACTAATTTTGATTTTTTGAATAAAAAGTTTGGAAATTTTGAAATAGTACAATAAATATTGTCATAGTAGAGTTGTATATAAAGATTGTATTAAAACAAACAGTAAATCCAATAACTTTGTTTGAATATGTTTTTTAAAAAGTATTTGATTTAGTGTATATAATAGTATTGATATAGATAGTTTTTATATTATAATAAATAAAAGAAGAAGTACAAAAGAACAAAGAAAAAGAGAATTGCTATGAACATTTCCTTATGCAACTAAAGGATAAGTAAGATTTTTAAACTTAAATAAACTTTGATCAGAGATCTTATTTCACTATATCAGTTGTTTTAAAAATTTTTGAATTTCTAAACTGAGGCTCACTTGCGATAAAGAGTATAAATCATTTTTTCTTAATAAAAATTATCATAAAAAGAAAATTTTTAATAAAGTAAATACAATCAGGAAAGAGTTATCAATTTTCAATTTACAAGTTATAATAATCTATATAAATAGTATTATACGAATTATTAAATTTATAAAAAAATCAAATAATTTTATATAATTAATTATTTTTAAATTAATAATAGCAAATTAATATTAATTATAATTAATAGTTATAATAAAAAATTAAATTCAATTTAAATTAAAATAAATTATTAAAATATTATTAAAAATAATTAAAATAAATTTATTAAATTTTTTGATATATATATTATAAATAAATATATATACATGTATATTAAAAATATAATATAACAAATTAAATAATAGTTATAGTTGACCTATGGATCTATAGCACAGTGGTAACGCTCTATAGGTCACTAGGAGAAGGTCTAGGATTCAAACCCACCTGGTTACAAAAAAATTTATCACTTTTATAATTGGTTAACCAGTTTCCAATTCATGTCGTACCCAATAAACTGACAAATCCACTTCCAAATCTAGTTAGGCTGCATAAAGATGGGACCTTTGGTCTTTCCAATAATTGTGGGATGAAAACATGTCAAAGCATGGAAGGTTGCATGAGGAAAGACTTCTGGTCTAACTTCAGTAAAAGCCTACTCTAACCCAAACTGGCAATGGCAGACTCCATTACACAATCCTAAAAAAGAGATTAATTCTAAACCGTTCTATCCCAATCTGGAGCTTGTAGATCTATCCCAATGGTGGTGTTTTATAGAACTTAATCATATGACTGAAGGGCAAGGTATCAGCCACAGGTGGTGAGAATACTAGACAAAAATCGTTAAGCCAAGTGCATCTAGTGAGGACTTACAAGATTAAATCGGAATTCAAGCAAGGATGCCAGTTCTACAGGTGGTGAAAAACGGTAGTACTACGTTATACTAGTGGTACATCCTAAGGATTGGTGATAATAGTGACTGGAATACTGGGGTTAATCTCTATAATAATATTCCATAATGTGCCTTATCCACGACAAATGCAGTCGCGACAGGATCTGGTAGGAAGGTGGTTTAAACTAGTGATAGGATTTCCACCTCCTATGTAAGTCCCACCTGGCATGTGAATTATCTACTTGATGTTTAAAATCTTGTATAGCTGGATATGTCATAATTGATCTAGAGGAAACCGGGGTTGCTAGAAATGGTAATCATCAGGTAACATTAACTTGCATTTAGGATAGCAATAGTCTATTCTATAAAGATATTTGATGTAATAATGATATAACATATGTTTAATAAAATGTCTCGCATCTAATGCCCTTAGCTAATTAAAAAAAAAATAATAATAATAGTTATAGTTGAAGGTTTAAACTGCTAACCAATATGTCAGAAGTATGCAGTTATGAGCAATTCTATCTTGAATACCTAACAATACTACCATTTCATATACTATTTAAGAAGAATAACTATATGACTATCTTCTTATCTTATCTAGCTTTCGAATTTTTTATAACAAAAAACCATAAGCAGCTTATTCCTATCAAAAGATTAGTATAAGTCAATCATGCCATATTGATAACAAGATCATCAATTTGGACAATATCCTTGATCTTTAATCACATTTTCTTTGATCACATGATTATATAGGTTTAGGTCACAATCCAAAACCCAAGCACCACACTATTCCTCACCATCACTACTTATGAAGCACATATGTAGAATTTACAATACAATTAGTAGCTAACTATTTTCTATTTTTTTTTTCTTTTCACCTACTTGGGTTCTCAAAAGCTCATATATATCAACTTTACTTGTAATAAGCTAGAATTAATTTACTTACTTTGTATGTTAAAGATCATTAATGTAATAATGGAAAAATGAAAGTTTAATAAATGTCTTACATTTAATACCTATTTGCAAAAAAAAAAAATTAATTAATAGTTATATTAAAAAAAATCTTTTTCTTAATCATATTTGTTTTATTAAAAAATTTTTTTTATAATAATTTTAAGCAAAAAAAATAGATTATACTTTTTATTACAAGTAAGTTCTAACTGAAAAACTTAAAAATCTTTAAGATAATTGAAGCAGTAGAATAGAATTTTTAATTAAAATCTATTCAAGTTTGAAAATCTTGTTTATTTTTCAGTTATATAAGAAAAAACTTATAATAGTTTTTTATTCTTTTGTATTCTTTTTTATTTTTATTCTATTATAAAAACTATTTATATTATTTATATTATATTATTAAATCAAATATTTTTTAAAACATATATTCAAACAATATTAATAAGTTTATTATTTGTTTTAAATCAATTATCAAATTCAATTATATTATATTAATATTTGTTATATTATTTTTAATTTTTTAATATTTTTACTTGATCAAAAAATTGAAATCAGTTTATTCCTTTCAAATAATTAACACTTTCTAATTATTCAATTAGATTTTACTTAAAAATCAAAACAAAAACCAAACTTGTTTAAATTAATTTTGTATTATATATATTAAATTTTATATAATTTTTTATATTAAAATTTTAAATACAAAGTTTAAAGTTATTTATTTTAAAAATTTCAAATAAAATTTTAATTTTTTATTTAATAAAGTTAATAAAAAATATTTTAAACTATATTTTTTTAATATAAGTAAGTTATAAAAATTAATATTTAAAATTTTAAAACTTGTGAATCTATAGT